GCAGGGACAGGCCAGGATTAATGTTAGACAGAACGGTCTGAGACACATTGAGTTGTGGTGTGAGGAGAACCAGTGGAGAACAGGACAGGTGTCTTGGTGAGAGACGTGCTTATAGATACACGTTCGCTAACGATATACACTGTGCTCACAATATTGTACAGATTATTACCATCGTATATCAGGCCAGCAGACATTAGTATGTTTAGGGTAGATGTATACTATTAAATGTATAAAAACTATACTTGAGTATATTTCTATTGTAAGTTACTAAAAACATACTCAAGTACATTTTTAAAACATATTTTTCATCTGGGTTATAACATAAACAGAAAATTAAAGATTTGAATATTTAATCAACCTAGTAATTTTGTTTTTCAATTACAAGTTGCCTCTATTTAGGGCATGACTACCTATATCACACTATTTGATGCCATTGGTACAGCATACGACGATCAATATTCTTGCTTCGGCATCCCATGTTAAACTCCATCATATCGCCGGGATGATAATCCTCCGATCTGAAGTGAACGCTACACACGACCGCGTTTCTCGAAGCCGATGCGGAAGAGAAATCCCGTCTCTTCACCTGCACAAACCACACCAGGCACGAAAGATATACAGCACCGTCCTTTTTCTTGTTATGGAAGCCTGTGGACTCGATGTCCTGACAGGCCGGAGTTTTTGCAACCTCCACAAACACAATAATTTACCATGACGATGATAGATTGAAATACAAAAACTACCGAAAACACACTGACTCACGGCCGCTCTCACTGAATGCCAGCCTGCTCTGCACTGAGGCGAGGCTGAGGCTCCCTAGCGTGACGTAAAATGACGCGATGTTGAAAAAAAAAAGCCGTTTTTACGAGCAGTCCAAGAAACGCTCACTTTATCTACTAAATTAGTGCCCTTATGTCGTTTTAAAACATTTTAAATCCTGCATTACCTTTTCATATGGTATTTTCATACAAGGTTATATATTAATTTAGATTTTTTTTTTACCTACAATATGCTCTTTAAGATATTCGGGCCAATCACAATGCACTGGATCGCTGGCAAATCAGAGCACACCGCGCTTTTCAGAACGATGAGCTTTGTAAAAATCTACACGTTTCAGAAAGGTGGGGCATACAGGAGCAATAATAAATGTACAGTATGTGTAAAATAATTACTTTTTTTAACCTATAACCAAGTAAACACATTGCATTAAACCAAATACACAAAATAATGTTCTTTTTAGAACCATCCTATGACTCCTTTAAATCCCAAGAATCGATTAGTCTATCCTTTTTTCGGTGGATGAATGAAGGGAACATTGTAACGCGCCTCCCATCCAATAAATTCCAATAATATTTGTGCTTTGTTACTTTATGAAACAAAGTCTCAGATTTCACATTACATCCATTTTATTATAAAATTCAAAAAGTAAATACCGTTTTGGCACGGTTTAATGGTGTGACAGATCGCTGTAGCGCCTCAGTTCAAGAGAAGCAACAGCAAGTGAACTGATCATCTCCACCGCTTTAATACCAATTACAGCGCAAAATAAACATGAATGAACATCTGAAGGTATGTTCAAATATACAGTACAACTTACCTAAATCCGTATCATGTCACATGTAATCGCTAAATCAATGTTTCAACCGCGGAAAAACGTCAATAAAACAGTTTGTTAACAAATTGAAAAAGTTGAAAAATGAACTCTAGAAAGGAGCATTTGGAAAAATATATGCACCACATTACATATTCATTATAATTTTTTATTGTTCAATATTTAATGCATGTTTGAATAAATCTGTCAAGTTATTTAAATGTTTATATTTCAAAAAATGAATTGGAGTATTGGAGAAATATGTTTATGTAATTGTAAAGTTAGTATTATAACTTTATTATTTTTAAAAAAACATCCTTGAGTGTAATTTGTGTTTGTGTACAAATCAGTAAGGCAAATTTTAACCTTCAATGTACAGTTTACAACATTAGTTGAGAGATTTATTTTCCCACAAGAAAATTTGCCATGTGGCCTACTGTATCTGAAATATATCAAAAAATTAATCGATATTTCAAAATCGAATCGTGAAATTTAGGTCAATACCTATCCCTACTGTACTGACTAGCACTTCTGATAGGCCATTGCGTTCACGCGCTCAATAGATATGATTGTGACTGGCTACAATGCTTAATGCTTGTAAAAACATGTTGTAATTAGAAACCTTATATGCTTAAAGCTGCCGTCGGCAAAAATTTTTTGATCATATTCAGTGAAATCGACACTATAATCTGAAAGAACAACATAAATAAAGTGGTTTTAGAAAAAAACCCGAGCTTCTAACTCCACCTGGAGCGTGTTATTTGTTTTGCAAAAATCCACAGCTCCCGGTTCATCATGTCCAATCAGCGTAGGGGGGTGTGAGATCTGACTGTCAATCACAGATCAGGCACACGCCACCCCTCGCGCACTTTACAATCACATGCACACGTCTGAAGTTCGCGGAAGTTCGCGCAGTAACGAAGAGTGATGGCGGAAAATCAAGTAAGCTCATTTAGAGTATAAATGACGTTAGCAATTGCAATCTATCGGTAGATTAGCCAGGACAGCATACCTCCAAATACTCCATGGTGTTGATGGATGCTGATGAGACGGGCGGGTTCACTGAAAATCTGGTGCACACGCACTGACGAGCATGAACTCGGTGGGAGGTGGGGAGGGTATCCGTTGATAGTGGGGGAGGGGCATGAGAGTTGTAAACATTCAAAATTTTCCTAAATCCACTCAATCTGCCAGACTTGCCGACTGCAGCTTTAAAACGGAGAAGTATTCCGCGTACAGATGACACCATTGTCAAAACGATCCCCATTCACACGAATCCGCGAAAACGACTAAAAACACTGTGTTCTGCTGCCAGGCTATTAGATGGCGATAAAACACAATAGACTGAACATGTAATGCGCATGTGCATAGATAGGGCTGGTCCGAATACCATTTTTTGAGCTTCGAAGCTTCGGTAGTAATGAACATCGAATATTCGAAGCTTTGGAATCTCTATATGTCTGTCTGTCCGTTTGCATTTTGATTATTTCGAGAACCGTTCATCCAAACGACTTCACAAGGAGTGCAGTGTCGTATTTGGTGCAATATAGATAGACAGGCGAGACGCGACACTTCAGAATTAATAAACTTTTAATAAACTACAGAACAGCGCAAGCGGGAAGCGCGCGGGCCTCACGCGAGCAGAGCTTATATGCTGCGAGAACGGACACTGCACTAGTGATATAAAACACACACAGGTCTGTTAACTTAAGCAATATTTTTAATAAGGTAGTCTAATATTTTTCTCACTAACAAATTACTGACAAAGTAGGGTAGATTTAAATAAAGAAGCGGTGCGCCTCACGCGAGCAGAGCTTATATGCTCCGAGAATGGACACTGCACTAGTGATATAAAACACACACACAGGTCTTTTAACTTAAGCAATATTTTTAATAAGGAATAGTCTTATAATATTCTCACTGACAAAGTAGGGTAGATTTAAATAAATAAAAACGAAATTTAAAAAAAGACAAACGAAAAATAAATGAACTAACTGTAATAGCCTAAATAAAGAACACGGTAGCAATAACAATTTCAATAAAAACATCACAAATTTCTATTAATATTTCGCAGTAGATTAATTTAGATGGATAATAACGGGTAAAAAGGATAATACATTTTGTTTCTATTATTCTATTTTCCACAATGTCAAAGCAACGCAGCCTAACCCAAAATACAAGCTCAGGCATGCACTTCTGTCCATACAAACTCCGCTGTTCTGCGCTCTAGCCTGAGAATACACCCGTTGCAGGAACACTTTTAGTAGTCCAAGAAGAAGCAAATATATTTATTAAGTAGCTATACCGAAGTTATCTGTTAAGTATTATATTTCACCAGACTTGATAGTGTAAAACATATTCAAGCGCGAATGAGAACCGTTTCGAGGGGGATGCCAGGTGTGCAAAAAAAACAAAAAAAAAGCAAATATTCGAATGTCACATTTTCAAATCGAATACCAACCCACCGAACGAATATTCGAATATTTGGGTCCAGCCCTACATGTGCATGACGTCATCGTCTTCAGAGATTCGCGCTTTTGTTCTTTACACAGAGACCGTTTTCAAAAACTTGCCCTTTAAAACCCGTTTACAAAAGTTTGCGTTTTCAGGCACCCAAAACCCGTTGTCGTGTAAAGGAAAGGCCAAAACGCATTCAAAGTTTAACGTTTTTAGTTGAAAATGGTGTCGTGTAAAAAGCCCCTCAGAGATCACTCAAACAAACAGGAACGAAAGCATTTAAAAAGAAAAAATCAATCAGTGGGTATCGAAAATACTACTGGTACTGCATAAACGCTGGTACCGTCAACTTTTTTTTTTTAGTACAGTGTGCCGTCTTGACTTCTTTGCTCTCTTTCATTAATTCCACTTTGAATCTTGTGCAGAAATGGAAAAGCCGAATTAGAGAGATCTCTCTCTCAACGTCGGACCTGATACGATTCAACATGCTCAATTGGCCGAACTTCCACCGACGTAAGCCTGACTAGAGCCGACGTGTGGAAAACACCACAAAAATTTGCCTGACCGACGCTCACCAATGGCCTCACGACCGACCGTCGGCTTGGTGTGTGACGGCCCTTACAGGCACTGCCAAAGAGAGGAAAAGTACTGCAATGCACTCAACTTTTCGTGAGATTTCCAGAGGGATGAACAATACACAATGATTTACACAAACAATAAATATAACAAAAATAAAAGCTTATTCTAATTAAGCAAAAAAAAAAAAAACACTAGCATTTTGACGAGTACTGTTCATATTTGACCTCAGAAAAACATTACATTTACAGCAAAGGCTGTATGCTTATTCTTTTGTAAGGCTGTATAGACCACTGAAGCAGTCCGAATCAGAATTGCATTCTACTCTGTATTTCAGAGCGGTTATGAGAGCATTTAGTTATTGTGAGTGAGTCACCTTTGAGCAGGGGAAGAGGTGTGAGTTCGATTGGTTTGCCCTGAGAGCGGAACTGTGAGGAACTCTGAGAACGTTTCTGCTTGGCCTTCCGGACAGACTTCCGGGAAAATCCGTCTACTTTATCCACTGATGGAGGAGTGGTGGCTGCGGAGGACATAGCCCTGGAAAAGAGAGAGATATGTGTAAGAGAAGTCATTAACACAAGTTTGCCACACCCTACACAAAAACACGTCACATTATTTAAAAATAAATAAATAATCTAATCAATGCTCCAAAATTGCATGTGAATGTGTTTGGTATGTGTAAAGAATATATAATCCTGGGTACATGAGAACAAGGGTTATTATAATGTCCCATGTAAGATCTTAAATAACCTCAGCTTTCAAAATGAATCGTCTCCCAGGATCATATGATCACAAACATTTAAATATACTTCCTTGAAGTTACCACCGTAGGCTCATTTTGCCAGCATCATTGAGGCCCTTTGTTAAGGGATTAATTTGCTCACTTTTGTTTGGAAATGACCCTATATAAAAGTGGCCGATTCTAATTGTGCTCATCAAGTTTTGACTTTGCTATTGATTTCACAAATTACACAGAAATGCTGGGAAAATATTTCCCAATCATAAACTTGAACAACTTTGTGAAAGAGTGTGTCTATGTATGAACCCAGATTTGGTGTAATGATGAATGCAAGTTTAAAAAGTCGGTTGTATTGGAGTCTTTAGATCAGTGATGTGTATATATACTATCTTCTAAAGCTTTTTGCAGGACCAGTGTAAGCAAGCAGCAATAAAACCAGGCCTGGCTGAAATTTCAAAGTTTGCAATTCAAAAGCAACTGTAATTACACAACAAACCACAAATGGCTAAAGGAAGGAAATGTTGTGGTATAAAATGAAAATCTAGCCAAAGATGTAAATAAAGGCAGGAATGCAGACTACGATGAAGGACAAATTTATCATGAGCAAAATTCAAAAAAAGAAATGACCCTGTTGTGATGGAAGGCGTGTAGAATACAGCAGGATACTGACTCTGTTAACTGTACAAGTCTGGATCAGGCTTTTGCACAAGTCTGCTGTAACTGAAAGTAATGAAATCATTCCAATTGATGAATCTGTTCAACAAACAGTGTTTACCATGAACCCTAAATAAAGTGATCGGGTTGATGTGCACGCGTCACAACCTTCAAATTGGATTTGATCTTTCGACATGCACACACTGCACAAATATACAGTTACCCGCTGTTGGCACATACTAACCATCCTCCAACCATTTCTTCTTTTCTTTGTTTTAAAAAGCAGACTTTATATTTATCCATTTCGGGTACTAATTAGGAGATAAGCACGATGAAGCTTTGTGGCTTGCTGCTTAAATTTATAAAGCACAGTAAAAATTCCCCTTCCTGTGACCAAAACGAGGCATCTGTGGAGTCTGAAGAAAGGACTGGTGGGACAATGTTGTCATTACGCCATTTCTAACGTCCAGCGCAGTTTCAGTTTATAATCCAATCAAGTGTTTACATGCCCTATGAAACAGATTGGAAAAGGTTTAAACCTCCCCTTACAATCCGAATGAAATTTCAATCGGATTTGGCCAATTCATTCCGAATTACATTGTTAGATCATGTGATTATTCTATTCCGGCTAATCTACTGCTCCGATTTACAATCAGATTATTAAGGTCCATGTAAACGCCCCTTTAGAAATGTTTAACAGCAAGTAAACAGGAAGACAGAGATGAAAAACCTTAAAAAAAAGGCCAAGGAAGGAGAGAAAGACCACCTAAACTTTCTCTCTGTTCATGAACTCAAAAAACTCAAACTCAGTTCTTTTTTAAATGCAAAATCTCTAAGCAGACACAAGTAAATTTGCAAAAAAATTTGCTTTTTCCCCCTCCAATATCTGAAGCCGGTATGCTCTTTAATCTGACCACTTGGAGCACTTTGATATTTCTGTCCCAGAGGTTTAAATTAGCAGGCATCAAAGGAGTGAGATGCTGCCAATGTCTACCGATGACATCCTATAATGCTGCACTGTGCGGCCCACCACAAACAATAGGCCTATCACCCCTTTTCTGAGCCACTTCTCCTGTTCTCAGACACGACAGGCCTGGCAGTATCACTACCTGTAAAAAGAATAAACCTTCTCTCTCAAGTTCAAGAGCAAAGAATTTCACATTCAAGAAACAATCGCACAAGAGAACATTGACAAAAACACATAAGGTCAGTAGAAATGAATAAACAAGCAGTCATTGTGGTTGGGACTCTGAGAATGTACCGAGATGGGATTTAAATAAACTGTATTACAATAATTTTTAATATATTATACAATATTTTTAATACCATGAAAAAAAAACTTCATTAATGAGAAACTAACACAAATCAACATTGAGGGAAAAAAGACCACTCCCAAAACTAAAACAATGTGCTTAATAATTGACATAAAAAAAATGTACACATACAAATTTGAATTGCTCTAAAATAGGCTTACTTGCAAAAATATTTCATTATCTTTATTTGTAAGATTCACGAGGCAAGATCAGCGAAAACCCTTTGTAATGAAAAGGCTGAGAGGAGCCAATTCATGTTCCTGTCCCGTCGTAAAGTTCGGGTTTGACATTTACAGTGAAAGATTTCTGTATGCAAGCAAGGTGACACTGATTACACACTTCTGCAAAATATCAAGGAATGGCAATTTACTCAACCAACCAATGAACCATTCTTGATAGATAGATAGTCTACACATCTTGCAATCTCTATTGCAGTGACACTGAGCTATTTTACGAAATCTAGTGAAAGATAAGCCCAGTTATCAATGATGTTTGGTGATCCAGCTCACCTCTGTATAAAGATCTGCGGTATAAAAACATCCTAGGGCTTATTAACAACTTTATAAACTGACAAAAGTGAACATGGCAACCAATCTAGGAAACACTTATGCCCAGCCATTAATCCAAAACACTCTGCCACTGACTGATGCCCTAATCTATATAACCAGCTATTTAGAGATAACCTTTCCCAATAGTTTTGACTGCAGGTCACCAAAAACAACCAGTCAGAGTGAAATCTACTCATGGGATGTGATGAAATATTGTGACTACCAGACTGCCGGGCTGCAGCTGAAGTAAACTAGACCATGGAAAAAGGGCACACAGAGGCACAATGCCACTGAGCCAAAGCAAGAAGTTGGCACAGACAAGTGAAGTGATGTTCGGAACTGCTTGTATTTGGTGGGTTAGTCCATAACGAACAGACAGTTCTGAGATGCACAAGAGCAGTTTAGCACAGTGGTTGCTTCTAAAAGGACAGAAAAAAGTGGAAGCCTCAAAAATTGTACAGTCCACATGTGTGCAGATGATGCAGGTTCGTGATCTCCTGATGGACCTAACACACTTACAAAATACACAAGCAACTGACATAGACCCACTGCATTCCAGAACACCAATAAAACAAAAACAGATGAAGAACAAGCTTTCCTCGTGGATTTTCACTCATCCACCCATTCAAATGATTCTTTACAGTCAGAAATGTCTGGGAAACATTAAGAGTACGGTTACATTTTTTTTATTTTTTTTTTACTTTTAGGTACACAAATACTAAAAACTCTGTATAAGAAGTGTCTTTGGACCTTAGCCTCATTTGACATATTTACTTGGGTATATGAAACATCCAAGCGAACCGGATCTAAACTTGAGCAGGAGAGGCAAGAAAAAAAAAACCCTTCAAATATTCAATTTACCTTGATGTTTTCGATGTGAGGAGCTGATATGGGTGTTTTAACCGTCTTTCCTCCTTCAAGGCCTCTTGAAGCAGCAGAAAAATAAAAATAAAGACACAAAATCTGTTTTTGGCCTTAAAAACTGCCAAACCCACAGCAATAATCCCATCAAACACTCAAATTTCCGACGATAGAAAAAGATCCAGCTGAAATATAAACATCCCCGGGAATCTCTTTATGTCCACACACCGCGACTATAGGTTATTTGTATCCAGAAAATATGTTTTATTGGGGAATATCGGTCCCTTTTTCGCCCTATTGTCAATATTACTGGGCTGAGTCCATGGCACACATAACACGGACGCGCTCTAGCCTGCTGGGCCGGGTTCGGGCCTACAACGCCACGCCATTGGTCGGTTTGAAGATTCCTCGGAACGTGATTGGGCGATGTAGGTGGCAATCACCACGCAGGGGAGGGAAAAACTCCAAGGCTTCTCTAACGATGAATAGAGAAGTTGGGTTGAATTGTGTGCGAACAGGAAAGAGAGTCACCTTACTAGTATGTCTTATTGATCTACTATTTTAATTAAAACATGTTTCATTACAAAAAACAACAACTATATAATAAATATAACTATTCGTATTCGTGACTTTGGGCATACTAAGTTTATTAAGGCACTAACATGTGCACAGCGCAACCTATGTATTGTGAAAAGCGCTATACAAAAAAACAAAATTTGAATAATTTTTTTTATAAATAACAATAAATCTTTATTCAGAATGGGGAAAGATTTTACCAAAAAAAAGAGGAAATAATCGATCTCTTCAGGAATGAGGTTAAACCTGTATGAGAGCCCAACCCTTATGAGGAGCGTCTCATGCCAAAGAAGAGGCCACCTGGCGAGAACTATCAGCACATCGCACGAGCATTAGGATCATATGGTACCTTTTACGTTCTGCTGCGGTTTCGTATGTTTCAGGAAATGAGTGACGACTCGAGTCGAGCACGAGCGCGTATGCACGCACGTCAACGCGTAGCCTACACGAAGAATGGCTAGTTACGCAACTTAAAAGTTCAGGGCTGTTTTTTTTTTTCAATGAATTTCAAATATTCAATCAGTCTTCTGGGCTTTGAAACATTGGAAAATAAAACCTATTTTTTTAGTGTCTTTGTTTAATTATAAACGAACATGTTAAAGGTTCTAAATCAATTAAATTAAATATGTGTAATTTGATATTTAGACCAAAAGCAGTGTGTCATAAAATACATTTACTGTTTTTAACCTGCCCGTTATTCGTTTAATATCCTTTTAACGCTCATTTGTTTTCATTTTAATTTAATAAACAACATTTGCTTGCAGGGGATTTTGGGGAGGATTTTTAATTTCAGATTAAAGTTACCATTAAATCAAAATGTAAAAGAAATTGTATGGAATAGTGCAGTTTTTAATATAAAATTTTTTGCTTTTATTATTATTCTGTATTTATTATAAACACATTTGATTACCTTAAAAGAGAGACAGTAAATACAGGATGTTTTGAAAATCTTCGGTTTATTTAAGGGCGTTTACAACACACATAGTATCCACAAACCCCACGCGAATGACAGCTTCTCAATTTCGCTCAGCTGTCATTTCCTGTGCTAGATGCCAAAATACCAAATTCACATTATGTTTGTTTTGCAACATTGTTCAATATTATTGAGGGTGAGGCAGTTTCCGAAAGCTATTGGTGGAGCTGTTGTGGCATGTCTTATGTTCAGCATATTAAACTTCACCAGGCTTGCATTACTTCGGAAATCTTAGCTGGACTCATATCATCTTTGTATAAGGTACTCTGAAAGTGCATGACTGGGGAGCTTATAAATCTCAGAGACAAATGCTGCCTGTTTAAACCTCACATTTACATTTCACAGCACACTCAGTTGTTATCCAATAAAATAAAATGTGAGAATATGAATAAGAGCATCAGAGACTTTGATATCAAGGCATCCTTCTTTTGTGTTTCATCAAAAACTTTTCTTGTTTTTACCGTTTACATTTTTAAAGGTTCTTATGTGTTGGCCCATAGTTACCTGATAAAATAATAACAAATACAGAACATGCAGTTTTTGATAGATACTTTTGTAAAAAAGATTTTTTGCTAAGAACATAACCACGATTTATGACCATAACGAATGTAAACCCTTTGCATAGGGAGAACGCTGACATAGTATTGTTAAGGTTGTAATCTCCATCGATTAGAAAGTGCTCCTGAAATTGTATCCCAGTGATCCTGATGCCTTCTTGACAAACAAAAAACCTTTATATATATAATATGAATCCCCATTCACTAATTTAAATTGTTCTCAGATTTTGATTCACAATTTGTGTAATGAGTATGTCGCAGAGAATAACACATTTTGGAAAGAAAAACAAGCTGTTCAATTTATGGTCAGTAAACACAGGAGACAATTTTAGTTTTTTCACATCATGTGTTCTACCTCAAAAATTAATTCTGAAATGCTGCTAACAAAACATAAGAAAAGTAATGTCCTTCACAGTTTTCATAAGAGTTTTTGCTGGACAAATAGACAACCGTTGTAGCGATTTGTTAATAACTTGGTAACACTTTATTCTGATGGTCCCTTTTGAACATTCTACTGACTATAAGTAACTTTGCAACTACGTGTCAACTAACCCTAACCTAACAGTCTACTAACACTCTTATGAGAGTTAGTAGACATGTAGTTGCAACGTTACTTATGGTCAACAGAATGTGTTAAAAGGACCATCAAAATCAAGTGAAGCCACAACTTACATTTTAAAACCACAAAAGACTGTTAAAACCGTATATTAACTATAATAAGGTGGAAGATTTAAACAGATTTACCCCCCCCCCCCCCCCCCCCCCCCCCCCCCAAAAAATCTGTTACCTTCCATTTGTGAAAGAAAAGACAGAGGGTAGGTTTGTGCACTTTACAATTTCTCTGAGATTTTTGTCAAATAACCCATTTGTTTCAGTGCCAACTCTCTCCTGTGCAGTATATGTGATCATGCGAGTTTTGACCGGTCTTTCTTTGTAGCTTGTTTTCTGTGAGCTTTAGTTTTGAGCTGCATGGAGGAGATGCTTTTCAGAGGATCTTTCTTCCCCACACTGATTTCCTCTGCTCCCGCCTTCCACTGCAACAACTGGCCATCCTCCCCGCACGTCAACAGACATCGTGCGATCGCATCCCACTGGAAGCATCTCACTGTAGCTGAATGACCCCCTTTAAGGGATTTAATGAATTTCAGACCACTCCCACTGCAGTCCAGGAGGTGGAGCTTTCCATTATTACTCCCTCCTACTAAAAGAAGACGCTCCTCATCTGACATCCATGAACCGCCCACAAAGTACTCGAGTGAGGCTCCATCAGGGAGCTGGACAAGTGTTCGGGCATCAGCCGAACTCACAAGGGTCAAAGTGTCATCGCTGTCTGGGCGAGCCACATCCCACAGGTGTAGCCCCTCATCATGAGTCAGACAAAGCAGCTGGTCAAGATATTTGCCTGTTAATATAAGAAATAAAATTATAGTTTAGGGTTCTGGGGAGTACAAATATGTTGATGTCCGACATATGATTTCAAATCGACATTAAAACTCAGCATTTTCAGATGTTTTTTTTGTTAAATCTTAATTAAAATAGCTAATATGAATATACAAAGGTCTACAGGGTTTCCACATATTTTAACCAATACATTTAAAGTGACTGTACTTAGAAAGGGCAATTTCTAGTTAAATCTTACAGCAATACATTACTATTATTACTATTACTATATATATATATATACAAGTTCAAGTTTATTGTCATATGCATATTAGTACAGAGTACCACAGCAATGAAATACAAAGTGCCTTAGCACTCTCTCAACACCAGTCAATAAATAATTAAAATTTAGATTAAAATTTAAACATCTGCTGATTCTGCTCAAACCTCAACCCTCCTTCCTCTTGTACTATCGTTCAGTAGCCTTACAACCTGTGGGTAAAAACTGTCCCTAAAACGTGATGTGCGTGTTGGGATGCTCTGCAAACGTCTCCCTGATGGAAGTTGGGAGAAGAGGTTATGTGCCGGATGACTAACATCCTGTATAATACCTAGTGCCTTCTTTGTGCTGCGTTTCCAATAAATGTTTTGGAGCGATTCTAATGGAACCCCAATAATTTTGGATGCAGTTTTAACCACCCTTGTCAGTAGATTCAATTCACGTAGCCCTGCCAAACCACACTGTAATATTACCTGTCAATATACTCTCAATTGTACAGCGGTAAAAATTTTGTAAAATGTTGAGTGACATACCATATTTCTTGAGACACCTCAAGAAATAAAGCCTCTGATGTGCCTTCTTAATGGTACAAGTGATATGAAAAGACCATCGAAGGGAGTCTGAAATATGGATGCCTAAAAATGTAAAAGTATTAACAATTTTGACTGCAGAGTTATTAATGTAGACAGCTGCATGTGTGGGTTTATATCTTCTAAAATCTATGATGACCTCCTTTGTTTTCACCACATTAAGGGACCCATTTGTTTCCTGTGCCTAACTTGAACATATTACACAGTCTCATTATTTATTTAACAAAAATAAAGCCAAAATGGAGAAGCCATGTGTGACAAAACTAAGTACACTCTATGATTCAGTAGCTTGTAGAGCCACTTTTAGGAGCAATAACTTGAAGTAATTGTTTTCTGAATGACAGTATCAGTCTCTCACATCGTTCTGGAGGAATTTTGGCCCGCTCTTCTTTGCAACGTTGCTTCAGTTCATTGAGGTTTGTGGGCATCTGTTTATGCACAGCTCTCTGAAGGTCCCGCCGCAACATTTCAGTCGGGTTGAGGCCTGGACTTTGATTGGGTCAGTGCAACACCTTGATTCTTTTCGTTTTCAGCCATTCTGCTGTACATTTGCTGGTGTTCTTGAGATCATTGTCCTGATGCATGACACAGTTTCAGCCAAGGTTTAGCTGTCGGACAAATGGCCTCACATTTGACTCTAGAATACTTTGGTATATGCACTGTGCAGAGGAGTTCATGGTCGACTCAAAGACTGCAAGGTGCCCAGGTCCTGTGGCTGCAAAACAAGCCCAAATCATCACCCCTACACCACCGTGCCGGACAGGTGAGGTGTTTGTGCTAATATGCTGTGTTTGGTTTTTGCCAAATGTGGCGCTGTGCATTATGAGCAACTTTGCAAACCTAAGCCGTGCTGCTGTGAAGAAAAGCAGCTTTCTCCTGGCAACCCTTCCAAACATGCCATACTCGTCCCGTCTTTTTCTAATTGTACTGTCATGAACTTTAACATTTAACATGTTAACTGAGGCCTGCAGAGTCTGAGATGTAGCTCTTGTTTTGTTTTTTCAGTTTCTCTGAGCACTGGACCCTGGGGTGAATTTGCCGGGACGTCCACTCCTGGGAAGATTGGCAACTGTCTTGAATGTTTTCCACTTTTTGAATAATCTTCAAAAATGTTATTGATTTTTGAAATCACCCTTGTTCTCTACGTCACAAACATGTTATAACCAGTCATGTCGCGTGTGGGCTTTAGCATATCATTAACTGTCTCAAGAGAAGCCAGGTTATTCCGGTATATTTTTCTGTTCTGTTTAGCAATATAGCGGGTGAATTATGTATATAATGTATATTATGATGAACTAGGCAATATGCCTTTCTCCACTGACGTTCTATGTTGTTCAAAGCATTTCTAAGGATGATGATTTTTAGAAAGCAGCTGTCTGACTCTGAGATGGTGAAAAGGAACATGGTTTGTGTAACATTAGCAACACATTATAAGCTGTTTGATAACGTAGTCAAGCCAAACGCTAATCATATCAATAAACGTTATGTGTCCGACGGTGGAGCGATACATAAATACACCACCATTCTGATACATCGACTTGACTTGATAGACGAGCTTGTATAATTCGATTTTCCTCTTCTTCTGAATCAGTTTCTGGTTCAAAATTATATGGCTAAATTAAACCAGTATTTCCACTTGCCATCATGCAGCGTTTACTACAGTAAAGTTGACCAAGTGGATCAGGTATCCTGAGCTGCTGTGAGTGAGTGGAGGCGGGGCTAATTTGCATATTCCCAGTTCCATGTATAATAGATGAAGCAAAGGTGTCATGTGTTGTTGTTCATCTGAGGTTGTATTTACCTAATTTTAAGGGCCAAGGGCCAAATTATATTTTTATTATGTCCTAATACGTAAAACCATAGAATTAAAAAGGGTGTACTTTCTTTTTCACATGACTGAAAAAAATAAAAAAATATATATATTAGGGCTGTCAAATGATTAATCGTGATTAATCACATCCAAAATAAAAGTTTTTTTTACATAATATATGTGGGTGCACTGTGTATAATTATTTTATATATATAAATACACACACATGCTTGTATATATTTAAGAAATATTTTCATGTATATACTGTATATAGATTTATATATAATTTATATTATATATAAATATAAATATTTTATGTATAAATAATATTTTTTTCTTAAATATACATGCATGTGTGTGTATTTATATATATACAATATAATTATACACAGTGCACCCACATATATTATGTAAAAAAAACTTTTATTTTGGATGTGATTAATCGTGATTAATCATTTGACAGCCCTAATATATATATATATATATATATATATATAAAACTAAAAAAAAGAACATTAAAAAAGAAAATTCATACTATAGCTATTTTACACCATACCTAGAAAAAAACATTCTATATTATTTTAAAGTCTAAAAATGTCATAGAAAAAAGAGAAAATTTCCAGGCCTGGTTATCCCAATTTAACAGCTAAGCATTAAGAGAAAAAAATATTATATATAAATTATTATTTAATATTAATAATTATTATTATTATTATTATTATTATATTAAAAAAATGTTTTACAGGCCTGGTCATCACAATTTAACAGCTAAGCATACGGTGAAAAATAAATTCTATATATACTTAATAATACAAAAAATATTTAATAATAAATTTGTTTTACAGGCCTGATCATCACAAGTTAAAAATTCTAATATTTTCCATGATCAAGGGAATTCTGTCTACATGATGAAATACAAAAATATCGCTCAGTCAGGTGTGCTGTTACTACCTACCTGTCCAGCAGAGGGAGCTTACAGTGGATTCACAGTTACAGGTGGTGACAAGAGCGTCATCCTCTCCACCCAGACTCAGATCAAACACGTTCACAAGTCCATCTGTGGCCCCAGAAGCCAAACGCTCCGCCTGCTGTGGGTGGAACTTCACCGCCGTGATGTCATCACTGTGCGATTCTGAGTAAACTCCCAGCAGACCGCCCATCTTAGAGCCCGACGCACCTCCATCCTGAACCATACGGGCATCCCAGAATACTAAAAAACTCTCCTCCTCTATCTGCTCTGTGCCTGCGCACAGCACACGGTCACTACAGCTCACGTCAAACGAGCAGTACGCATGTGTCGAATCACTGCGAAACACCTGGGTGGCATTAGAACCAGGCTGTCGGACGTCCCAGCACCTCACTGTCCCATCGGCCGAGCCGGTGAACAGCAGGTGAGGGGACAGGTGAGAGAAACGGACCCCACACAGAGGAGCCGTGTGACCCTGGAACTCTCCCACCAGGCGGAGCGTTTCTCTGCAGTGCAGGTGCACAGAGTAACTGGAGCAGCACACAGCCAGCAAATCTGACCCACTGGATGCAAGAGAGAGGTCCAGAATGTACGTGGCCTCACTGGGCTCCAGTCTCCTGGCGATGGAGAGAGTCCTGAAGGTGTCCTCGAGGGCATCCATGATTGTCACCAAACACCCTGGCATGTTACAGGAAAAGAGTACTTTGTCATTTCTTAGGTGCCTTTATCCAGTGGCATAAAGCAGAGGTTCTCTACTGGTCAGCGAATCAAGCATGAAACCAAGGAAATTGAAGTTAAATTTAAAACAATAAATGTAAATTTCTTAATTGTTTTATGAATGAGAAATAATTTAAAGTAACAATACAGATCATAATATAATTATATTTAAATGTTTACTTTTAAGGACTGTTTTGTTGCTAATTGATGCCAAATCTGGGTCCTGTAGTAAAACCAATTGAGAACCACTGATTTACTGTACTATGTATTACAAGGACAATCACCTGAAGTAAAAAAAATATATTTTAGATGCCACTGACCCCCAAAATATGATCATCCTTGTGCAAGGAACCCCTATTCTAAAATTTAAAAGGCAGCTATATATTTTCATGTATAAAGACGTAATTTATATTGTGAAAAATATTATAAATAGGTGTAAAATATTATTTTGAAAATATTTATTCTATTCAATTATTACATAATCAAATGTATTTATTTAGTTTAATTAAATTTTGTATCTACATTATTATTTATTTTTTACCCCTGACGCCAATTTGAAAACCCTAGATCATAGACAAAATGTTTTTAACCCATAATCTACAATAAATTATACAAATAAATGAATAGAAATCACTAAAACTGATCTGACTCAAGCCAAGACATGTAAGCAAGTGATGCAGAATAATTGACAAAATCATAGCTGAGCCATTCCACCGAAAGGGTGACATTTCTGTCCCCAGGACATTATATGTATAAAAATGCATGAAAATTAACACTAAAATACATTTTATTATTAATCAAAATGTCCTGCACATTAAGCTAACTACAAATTTAAAATGTATAATTAAAAACATTAATAAAACTACATAGAACACTAAAAAATAGCATTTTCTGCATGTCCCCACTTTCTATCTCTAAACTTTACTATGAAATTTAATTATTAAAATCCATGAGAAAAAAATATTGTATCTAATATTTTAGATAAAACACACATTTATATATTTTAGACAGAAACACCCACCTATGGCATGCTGCACGGGAAGGAGCAAAAGACACCCGCAACCCTCTCTTTTATCCCTTTTTTTGTCTTAACTTCCCTCCCTCTCTCCTTTTTTCTCTTTCCACCTCCTTTACTGTGAAGTACTACTAGCACATAGTAAATCACTTCAACACAGAAATCTTATGCACACAGTCATGTACACTCTCTCTCATACACACACACACACGCATGGCATGCACACACATATGGACACTCCTGTTACCCAATGTTCATTCCTGTTACCAAGTGTTCATTCCCATTACTATTTTTTTTTCTTCTAAAAAATGTTAAACCACTGTTTTTAATAGTTTTGTTTGGTCCATCATTTATACAATGGTTTAATAAATTAAATTATTTAAAAAAATTATAATCTTGAAGCTTCGGTCTTTTTTAAAATGAAAAAAATGGCTTTGTGTTTTTTATTAAAATACACCTTGCCTTAATATACAGGGATTTTTTTACTCACAAATATCAATTATTTGAACAAAGGCTACAACCAACAATTTCTTTAAAATAAACACTTTCTTGTGGAGAAAACAAAGGAATTAATAGACATGCTTTTAAACATGCTTTTTAAATGGCACATGAGTTTCGGTAACAGGACTGAGAAAACATGCGTCCATCTTCTGCTTAGAAACCTTGTAAAAAATAAATAAAGTTGCCTGAGATTGACCACTGCAGATTTTGAATAGTTAAATGTGTGTAGTATTAGATTCAGTGTTGAAAAAAATAAAATAAAGTTTTTTTTTAAGTGTTACAACAAGCAAATGTCACCCATTCGGTGGAATGGCTCAGCTATAGTTTCTAACATGACAGCCGAGATGAAAGTGACTGATTCATTACATATTTAGTTAAGTTGAACTAAAACACACATAAGTAATTAGTAAGGTAGTAAAAACCTTTCCGTTTTAATTAAAAGATAAAACAAATTACAGTACAAAACACTCACATGTGATTGTTATTTAACGGCCATCAGTGTGTCACCTTCTCAGCTGCTCCCGGAAACACAGTGACGCAGAACATTAGTTCCGCGGACACAACTTACGATAAACAGGCTTAATTTTGTTTTAAAACTAAAATAACTGTAATTCACTTTTTTATGTATAAATATGAGACACGATGACATTATTATTTGCATTCGTGTCTAACATGAGAAGAGGTAAGAAACAGAGACTTGAGCGCTTGAGCCGCCACGAGATGGCAGTGTTTCTCTGTATTATAAAATGAGAAATGTTATAACGCAAATGTTGTACCTAGTAGCCTACACAATGCACGCATATCATATTTAATCGGTTAAATTTGTATTTTCAATTACATATATTCATGAAAATGTTCAACTTGTTTTGCATATCATGTCAAAAGAAATTGTATATATTATAGAAAATTACAGTAACTAGGCCTACTACAACTGTCGAAAACTGGTGGAGAAGATCAGACAGGATTTAATAACTAGGACATATTGTAGTCTAGGAAATAAGAGTATAATTTTGACTAGGGTATCATTGTGTTGAGAAAAGAGGATGTTTTTTCCTTTGTCCGCCCGTCGCCTTTGTTAAACTCCCAAAAGGATACAAGCAGGAATCAAACTTGACATCTGAAACTACAATTAGCATTGTCATGAGATAGAAAAACTGAAGTGTTTTGCCGACTGAAGCGATACAGCAAGCCAACGTTGACCTTTATGATCATATTTCCAAAAGATCCTGGTCTTTATGCCTGTACATAGATATCTATGATGCCTGTAGGGCACATTAAAGTCCCAAAGGGACATTTTAAGTATTTGACATGAGATATAAAGCTAAACCTTTTGAGCTCCAAAGTGTGTACGTGTGTGTGTAAGATATGCTCCTGTTATCTCCTTTGAGTGTATTTGTGGCTGAATGCATATTAGTGTGGTCGAGGGACGTGGGAGAACGGCGCGAGGCCGGTGGCGTGATTAATGATGAACGACACACGTGTCTCGTATCTCTCACGTCCCTCGACCTCGTCCTGCTCGCCACAATTAGCAAAGAGATGTGTATTGTGAAGAGTACAGTGTGTGCTGAGTAGGTGCACACACTGTACTCACACACACCTGTGCCAACAAGCTAAGCAAAAATAACCAGCCTTTAACCCTATAAAGCCTATTGTATCATACTTGCATGAGTTTGATACATGTCCTCTAAATTATCAACATGATCTTTTTTTGCCGTGAAATCTTCAATAAAGTAAACGTAAAAATGACCTTTATATTGTTAAAAAATTCAATAGGAACATTTACTGTACTGAAGCAAGTTATGTCTAGTTCAGTGGTTCCCAACCTGTCCTCACGGCACCCCAACACTGCACGTTTTCTTTATCTCCCTAATCAAACACACCTGATTTAACTCATCAGCTCATTAACCCATGTGATAATGAGCTGATGAGTTGAATCAGGTGTGTTTGATTAGGGAGATAAAGAAAACGTGCAGTGTTGGGGTGCCGTGGGGACAGGTTTGGGAACCACTTGATTATCCACGTATCATTTTTTTGGATTGCATTGCATTATATGTTTTGCTCTCACAATTAGAGCTTTGATTATGAATCTAAACATTTAAATATCTACAAATAATTGGGAGATATAAAGTGACAACTGATATTTATATGCATTTAAGTAGTCTTCTATACAGTTATAAAGATCTCATTGATTTACATTACAAGCTATCAGAATTTAAACTTACTTCAGTTTGAGCCTCTGAATAAAACTATATTTTTCCTCGAGTATGAGCTCAATATTCTCTCACTGAATATATCATACTGTATGAGCCATAAAATCCTGATGTATTAGATTTTGTGGAAACTCATCTGAAATACTGTACAATCTACTGATCGCCATGTGCTTCATTAGCGTTTTGAATTAACACAAATACATTTTACTAATATATCACATAGTTAAACCGTGAATAGTCTAAGAGCAGATAGTTTTTGTAATCTGAACTACAAAGGCACATCTGGCTAAAACATGCTCACACATGTTCATTAATATTTCAGACATTACAGAGAGCATATTGATCTCAGCAGGAACATTCAAACGTCTTGTGGAACTGTGCTTATTAAACCCAGTCATATACTTCTGTTAAGATTTTAATATTTTCTTTATTTTTTTCTCAAAAACAGACATAGTAATAGTTTTTTTTGCTTTTGATTGAGCATATTATTCAAATCCAATCAAAGATCATCAGATAACTGCTATGAAAGCATTGAACAGAGCTTCATAACAAGCCATTTTATGAACATAAGGCACGGGTCACCTTATAACACTGAATTCATTAGTGCATCGAGTTTTTAGCCTTGAGGGAGTGTAATTCTTCCGGTGTCAAGCGCTGGGTGAAGGTCAGCTGATTTTTATTAGGTCTGAACGTTCAGTCCGAGATTTAAATTTAGGGTATTTTTAATATTTGCAGGTTTTACAATATATGAGAATTTACAATATCAGAATGCCTCTAACAATATTTAAAGATGGAAAAGTCATTAATATTTTTAGATTAATTTTTTTTTTTTTTTACATAACAGGAAGAATCAGGGCTCCAGAAATAACCATTTACACAAACACACATACAGTATCCAAAGCTTCTGAGACAGATTTGGTAAGACTTTAAACAATTCTACTCAGTGATTTTTACAAAGAATTAAACATCTAAAAGAAATTGGGAGGACAGGGCACCAGACTAACTTTTTTTACTAGGAGCGCTGTTGCCCCTGACTGAAAATTTTAGGAGCACAAGCAGAAAATTTAGGGGCACACCTTAAATCAGCTTGCAATGCAATTATTTAAATTTCCCCCAAAATAACTGTAATACTGACAAATTCTTTAATAATAAAGAGACTTAACGTACAGATATTACGATATGCAGTTTTATTTTGAGTTCACAGGGCTCCAGACTCAAATTTGAGGGCAGCGTCACCTCAAATGAGAACTCACACTGAGTAAAAAAAAAAAAAAAAAGCACTGGGGCTGGTAGCACTGGGGCTGACAATAAATCACGAAGCTTAATTTAGGGTGTAGATGAAATTAACTTTTGTTATTATTATCATTCATAATGTCTTAATATTAATTAAAAAACAAAAGGAGTGAAAAAATGTATATTAAGGAGTGAACATAGCCAATAAACATCCTACTGTTTACAATGTTTTTTTTTTTTTTTTATAAGTGTTTAAATAAGAGTTATCCAACATCTTAAAATTTTTAGTTTTAGGACAATCTTTGAAGGATGAACAAAAAATGTGTTGGTCATCACATAAAAAATAAATTAAAAAAAGCATTTATGATAGTTTTGAAGTGCTAGAAAAGATGTGTAGGCTGCGTTTGACTATTTCTGTCACATTATCATATTTATGGTTAGAGTTACTTACTACATTAGCCTAAATCCATGGTGAATGTTGCTGATTTGTGGACTGAAAGCCTTCTATAAGTTTCCACGTCAGCACTGTTTGATCTGATATCTATGGTTTATAACAGAACTCTGCGCCGAATCGGAATGTTTCTCACTGGATCTCGTAGCGATGATGTTATTAATTCTGAGGCGAATTCAAAGGATTTCTTCACTGGATCTCCTAGTAACAGTGTCGCGTGAGCGAGATCGGCCCGCGACCGGCAAGTTCGGGTCTTTATTTTACTGTCAATGGTTCGGGGCGCTGCTCCATTGATATACATAAGAAAGGCTATGCGCTGCTCTGTTTATTATTGGTCCGGAATAATTAACGGTCCGTGAAGCATAAATGAGTAGCGTATTTTCGTTCCACTTTCATTTTGTTTGCTTTCGCTGCTTGGTAACGAGTCGATAGATCGCTCATTGCTCAGACGCACTGCAGCTTGTGATATTTGTCTCCGTGTCCTTCCCACAGACACGCGCGCTCTCTATTCTTGCCTTCACTCATTCCGGATTCATTGACGCGCCCCTTCCACGCTTAACCATGCGTTTAACGTGAGGCAAATTTACTGGTCGCACATGTGCGACTGGATGTAAAATTCAGTCGCACACTCTCAAATTTTAGTCGCAAAATGCGACCATTTGGTCGCAGTCTGGAGCCCTGGAGGATGTTTGTTGAAATGTAATACATTCCTGAAATGGATATGATGGCAAACTGAACACCAGTGAGTATAACAGACACATTATTTAACATGCAGCTTTTTGGTGAATTACGCATGTAGCCTACTATTACAATATGTGCAAATATTTTGAATTAGCTTTCGTCGTCTAAAATTGAGATTTTTTATATAATTATCAAAAAACTATTTTTAATAGTTTTAGTTTATAATAAGAACACTGCATGAACCAGGATGGACTGAGCAGCAATCTGTCATTTAAATTTGGAACATTTCACTTTATCTTAAACGTTTTCCACATGCTCTGTTCAAATGAAAGAAAGAACAGATGAGAATAATTGTCCGTGCTTATCAAATATAGCAGAGATTTACATAAAAGGCACTGTGTGGTATCTAAATCAGATCTGTTTATTCAGAATAAGCAGTAAAACCAGAGAAAGCCAAATCAAAGGAAATAAAGCACTTTTAAATGAGAGCTTCACCACTGGACCAGTTTCTCAGGAGCTCAATCTAGGTCATGACAGGACCACACGGATTATGCTGCCTTTTCTGTCTGATTATAGGGCAATTTTCTAATATAGACATAGTAAAATTAGTTAAACAGACCTGAGAGCACTACTTTTTAGTAGTTGAATCTTTATCAAATTATATTAAAAATTATTACAAAACATTAAATAAACTAACAAGAAAGAGGATGCATAGAGCTTTTTGAATGATATGCAAACCAATGTTTTTATGGTCTGCATATTCAGTGTAGGGGCTGATGGGAAAAATTACCCCCATAATGGATTTACAGAAAGTACTTCTATTTGGTGATAAACACATTACATAGGCCTGAGAGGGAAAAATGCTACAGTCAAACTACTTCAATCCACAAACATAGACTTCATCAGAAAAATCACTCAGAAAGAGTCGAGGAGTAAAGAAACTAGAACAACTGGTCCAGAAAGCAATGCTCCTCAATGAGGATCTTCTGATATTCTGGCCTAAACACAACCTCCGTCCTTTGTCTCTTAAATAGAACCTCCGCCCTTCAAATGACTGAGATCTGCATTGTTCTAGGTGAAGAGTCAAAAGGTCAACATTGCTCTCCAAAACAATCCTGTTTACAGAAGTGAGGAATTGGGAAGCCACCTTCTCTTTCAGTGGAAAAAGGAACTCGCACTTGAACAAAGACACAAAAGGCCACAGGAAGAATAAAAACACAGCAGTGTCACACAAGCCTGACCTATTATCCTAACGACAACAGCAGGCATCAGAGCAGTGCAATCTGGGAACAGTGCATTTAAATCAGTACCCCAAATTCACCATAACTACACATTAAACTACCTTGACTAGAAGGCAGTTTGAATTATTCATAGGTTTAGTAGCAAACCTGACATTTACTTGCATTTCAACCTGACTGAAAACACAGCTAAATGCTAATAGGGAAAGCATTGCTGATTTTCTTTGCAAAAACAAAAACAAAAAAAAAGGGAATAAAAGCAGACCGAGATATAAAAAGAGCAAGAATCATTCTTATTATGAGCTAGACATGTATTCAATCTAAGAACATAAATGTCAAACTGATTTAATATTTAACATTTTTCAGAATAAATCACTAGTGCATCAACTTTTTAATGCCTAGAGAAACTGGTTCTTAAGTGGTCAGTTCAAGGGATTGTTCACCCAAAAATGAAAATTCGATCATTATTTATTCACCATGTAATTTTTACACTTCTCTCTGGAACGCAAAATATAATATTTTGAGGAACATTGGGAACCAAGTAACATTAGAGCCCATTGAATTAAATTACATACACAAAAACAGACATTTCTCCAAATGTCTTCTTTTGTGCTCCACAGAAGAAAGTAAGTCAATTATGGAACGTTATGAGGGTAAGTCAATGACGACAGAATTGTAATTTTTGTGTGAACAAGTCCATTAAGGCATCTATCATTATAAAAGTCTTCAGAGAAATAGTCCAACCTGCTTTCGATTCGAAACTAAACTGCAACTAAAGTACAACAAAGAACAACGCTGCACCCAACCACTAATCATCATGTTTGGGTGGCCTTATCATTTGACATATGACATTTCAGATTTTATATTGCAAACAAGAAATAAAAGCTGACGTCAGCTTCAGGCGATCCATCACAGAGATTTGCACGAGTCACACATTCGCAAGAAAGATTTCAGTCAACTCTTGATGCAAGAGTTTGAGTCGTCCTACTGTGGCATGAACAAACCTCATCAAAAGTCAATATCATCTTAACTTTATGATAAGAAGCAAAACTGCTTGTCCTGCTTGAGAAAAATATAACAAACCCTATAGGGTAGAAATTTTAGATGAGAATAGACATGCTACTGTACTTTACATGCAACTGCTTAGAAAAGGGCCATAATCTCTGAATCAACACCAAACACAGGTTTTTTGAATAGAAAATCTGCTAAAACTACAGTATAAATGATGGAAAACATATTTGGGGAACATTTGGAAGGTGCAGCACAGTGTTACAGGCTTAAGTCCCATCCAATATTGATTTGAAGGGAAGGGCCTCTGCAGTCCAACTAGGCTCTTATTGGCCGAAAAGATGGATGGTTCTTTCACCCAATCACAACAGACCCATTTGTATAAATAGGAAAGGCACAAGGAAATGTGCATTTAACCCCACAGATCCGTAGACGATATAACGATATGGCAATTCCACCTCCATGTGCTGCCTGGCCTTCCGAACGTCGCCGCTGGGAATCCCAAAGAGCCAGCAGACGAGCGGGATGGTGAGAGCCTTCATTACGGCCCTGGTCGCCAGGAGAATGAGGACACCCAGGACAAAGCGGAGTAGACAGAGAGCGATCAGGCTGAGGGTGATAGATGGGGGCTGCAGAGGTAACATCGATGCAGGTGGGTCCGGCAACAGGCCCAGATGGTAGTTGATGTGGGATGCCAAGGCGATACCCGCACCAGAGCCCAGGATTTGGGCTGTGTCGCCGCGTGATGTGCTCCAGGTGTCCAAGGTGAAGGAGAAGAGACCCAGACCCACGTGAAGAGAGATGATGATTAGCGGGGCGTAGCGATGGGTGCGGTTGAAGGTGTCAATGATCTCCAGAGCAGGACTGAAGACCACTACGATCAGCAAACTGTACAGGAAACCGACAATGATGTCCTGAAGACAAATACAAACACAGTAACGTCAAACCACAGGAATAAAAAGAAGAAAACACAGGTGAAGGTGCAGTGCAGAGAAAAAAACTAAAGAAATGAAAAACAAAAGATAATTTACATTTAAAAGAAGCTGACAGAGAAATGTATATATTTGACAAATACTTTTTTCACGTGTAAATCTATAGAGGAAATATGACCTAATAATAAACTTATTCATTTGCCATAAACAAGAATAAAACTAATATGACAGGTGAAAAGAACAAAAAAGGAACAATACAACAGGGTAAATACTTGTTTAAACCAACACAATTGTTTGGAACCAAAATGCGGTCAGATTTGAACATGATTTGTCTGTTCAGACCAATATGTAAAAGCCAGCAGACAGGCTGAATGCAAAATGCAAATTCACTCCCTTACAGTAGGAGGTGGTGCTTTTAGAAAAGCAGAAGTAACAGCAGCGGCTCTGGGCATGTGACCGAAAACGCATATCTTATTGGCCGGCCAATGCAATGGAAAAAAAGATTAGAATACCTCTCCTTAGAAAAAGAAATCAGTCACATTGACTGCATGCAAATGTTCATGTTGGTCTGACTCTGAACAGACGCATTAACAACTGTTCATTTAAGTTAAAATTCTTATAGCACTGAATATTCACCCTGTGTGAACGCACGCATACTGAGACCGAAAGAGGTTGCTCAAACATATACAAAAGAAATACTTAAATTTGAAGTTCTCGTAATTGACACGAACGACAAACCTTTGCTTGAATATTAGGGTTGCGCGGTATACAGTACTGGGAAAATATCGGTATATATTTTATTTTAAACGGTACAATATCATGATTTTGGTCATTTCAGATACACTGCTGTTCCGAAGTTCACTGATAGGTGGCAGTGTGCAACCAAAATGAGGCAAAACCGGCAAATGTGACAGGATAGAGAAACAAAATGGATAAAGCAGTTGAATCTCACTCAACACGCCCAAAACTATTCGTCATGAGGGCTGGGTATCGTTCATTTTCCGATACCGATACCTTGACTTTGATACCGGTTCCTGAACGATACTTTTTTTCAATACCAATTTTATGAAATCCGTTTTAACAACATTACCTCAAATATTTTACTTTTTAATTTAATATATATTTTTTTTTACTCATATTTTGAGTCTGTAAAAAAGTACCAATGCTGAATTTTTCTATGTATCTTAATCATTTAACAACATGTATTCTTTACTTCAACGAGCTTGTTGTTTCTGCCTTAACTTAATGCATTGTTTATCAATGTGTGCAAGTAATGCATTTCAATTCAATTTTCATTCAGTTTCAGTCACCTCTGATTAGAGTTGGGAATCGTAAGAAATTTTCCGGTTCCGATTCAGTTTCCGCCAAACGATTCCGTTTCGCATTCAATAAAAATTATTAAAACAATAATTAAAACAATAATTAAAACTAATAAAAAAATAGAAGTAAGGGGAAAAAAAATGCAAAATCCTTTTTGTGTTTATTTCTTATACTTGTCAAATGAGTTTAACAGACTGGTAATGTCAACAAATTCAAAATATTATTTAGCAATTTTTGCAAAAATTATTAATTTTTCTGAAGGAAAATAAACATTTCTGAAACAATGAAGTGAAACAATATTTTTAAAATCGGTATGAATAATTGATTCATAAAGACTTCACTTGTTTCATTACTGGATGAATCAGCGCCCTAGCGGTTAATAGACAGAACTGCATTCGTCTTGCGGAAGAACATTGTAGCCAGAGCTACTTCTCTCTGTTTTTGTCTATGACGAGTCACCCAGGTAATAATAATAATAAGTGCCGACCTGACCGGTGTAAAGTAGTCCGAGTCGAAACGCTTATTACAGGCTTACCGTAGTGATTCAGGATAAGACAAAAAACTATTTTGAAAAAAGGCATTCATTATGTACTTGCTCATTATATAAATTGTATAAATTCTGAACACAAAAAAGTTATGGACTGCAGCTTTAACAGTCGTCTTTATGAATGTTTTGAAGCATCAGATGTAATCCATACACATACACTTGTTATTTTAAGCGACTTTCAAAAGGTGATTTACTCTACTTTGGTTGCTACCGTAGACATCAGTGTTTATATTCGAACTGTAAACTTCTCAGTACTTCTGTAATTATTTGAATATTTGTAACAGAAATATCGATACTGTGTGGTTGAAAAGACTGAAAGTAAAGCAGTTTCATATATATTGACAACTGCTCTCTCTGGGTCAGCGACAGCGCAAACAGATTTGAATGTTCCAGTGTGAAGTATTTGTTATTTAGGAATAAGATCGCGTGGGTGTTTGAATCGAGATCTTTTAAAGATTAATCACGCAGCTCTACTGTCTTTATACTCTCTCTCTGCGTTGACATCTGACGCAAAACATATACGAGTAGCGCGAGGGCATGTCAGTGCATTCATTACTATTTTAATATTCATGAGGTGAGACATCGCTATTATTAAAGGATAAGCTGCCAGCACTTCGCCCACACATCGCACCAGAACCATTTTCGGGAACCGCACGGTTCGGGTATTTTTCAAAAACACTGATGGTTCTAGATAAGAACCGATTCTCGGATCCCAACCCTACCTCTGATAACAGATCATTCAAAATTGTAATTTAGACATGCATTTTCTGTAAAGCTGCTTTGAAATGATATGTATTGTACAAAATGCTATACAAATAAATGTGAATTGAATTAAATATAGGCTACTTGGGGGAGGGATATAAGCCTCGGGCTCAGCACACATAAAGCTTGCCGCAAAGCACTGGAAAAAGTAGCCTAATGACTATGTGTCGGGGGAAAAAATAGCAAGGAGACATTTGAATTGTTTATTAATAAACTAGTGTTTTCTGAGTCTGTGTTGGCTGCAAAGATGAAGATGACGATGCTGACTCGTCATCTCTGCAGTATAGTGTATAGAGAGAAATGCACCTTTTATTTGTATTACATAATCAAACTATTTGTTTTGAATTGGTTTGTTTAAAAGTAGACATTTTAAGCTTCTATAGGCCTATTTCTCATGTATGTGAGGCAGGCAAGTATCCTATACGCTGAGTTTCGGTTCATTTGTGACGCGCTCCAGTTCTTCTTGCGGTCGAAGACGGATCAACTTTCTGCTCTCTGTGCGCTGTTAAGTGCTTCATCAGATTTGTCGTGTTGCCAATCTTGGCAGCAATCATCTTGTCGCAAATATATTGCATCGTGCGCTGCTGGCATCGAGTATGGTGAAAGGTAGCTACACTTTTGATCTTTTTCACAGATTTTCCATCTATGTGGATTGGGACGCTTACACACTTCAGCCTCACGTGCGAGCTACGGCTCTGTGGGCAACCGAGTAAACTACTGTTTTTCCGCCACAGCCAATCATGCTGCATGCTTATTGGCTCACTGACGTTGACGAGATTAACCCCTTAGATATCGAAATTTGGTACCGAAAGACAAGATATGTTTCGATTAGGGCTGCACGTTTTCAAGTTTTTCATTAACCGTTAACCGAGGCCCTTAGCGGTTAATACTCGGTTAACCATAGTGTGCGCGCCGCAACCCAGAGATACAGACACACGCGAAAGGGGTAGTTCATTTTTAACACCTTTAATAACTGGTTGGACCACATTTAAAACGAAATTAATTTATAGAAATAAAACGCAGTGGTAAGGACAGAGCAGTTATGTTGTGTTCATACCGAATGCGAATTTAATTATATGCGCCAGTGATTACATACAAAGTCAATGCAAAGACGCGAAGACGCATCATTCGCGCCGGGCGTTGCGAATGACCCGAATTGGGCGACGCGTTTGCCGCGAATGTCTTCCGCGCAAGTTGAAAAATTTGAACTCGAGCGAATGTTCAAGCTAGACGCGATAGACGCGTAACGTTATTTGACGCTCTATTCGCGTTCGGTGTGAACACACAAGACCATAATGATGCCCGGGTGTTGGCTATTGAGATGGTACAACAACGAGGTTGTACTTGAAGTATATCTAACCTTATATCTCATATTATATCTCATTGCAATACTTGCATTTTGCCCCGTCATTCTCGATTTTAAAGTGCTCCCACGCTGTGCTTTTCTTTGCCCGCTTCATATTAGAAAACTGGTCATGAGTCATGACTACTTCTTCTTGTGGACATTACAAATGTATGGGAGCGCTCTGGCGGTGCAAAAATGTATTACAACTAAATTCAATGCACGCCATTGACGCCACTTAACAGAGCAAAATGTTTCACTCGGTTAAGCAATTTTTAACGGTTAATCGGTTAACCATGGACACCCCTAGTTTCGATACTCGATAGTATCGAGGCAATACGGTCGGTACCTGAAAAAAGTATCGAACTCAATAACTAGCCCTATTCGTCATCTTTGCTTTATTTTTTGCCAAGCTTTATTTCGCTCGGCTTCTGCTATGTTAAAACTCTTGCATTGCATGTTTGGGCATTTTGGGGCCAGTGCAATGAAGGGAGGGGTGTGTTTGATTGGGTTGATTTCAAATATAAACAAACAGTGTTTCTCAGAAATCGCTTACTGCACCTTTAAAAGATCATGAATATGACCCATATTAACCAGCCAATGTCCATTTACTCTCCCCTTCAGTGACTCACACAAACACACACTTATTCCTAACCCAACTCCTACCTCCTAAACCCCAACCTCAAAACTGACCTTTCAGCATTTGTAAGATGTTAAAACAGAAATCATTCAGTCCCTTTATAAAGCTGTTTTCCTAATGGACCCCAAGTACATTTGTCTGGATGCTTTCAAGTACGGTCTGTTCATAAGGACTGAATAAGAAACAACTCACCTCTTCCTTTCATCTATCAGTCATTAACCATGATGGGCTCACTTTCCACATCTGTTGTGGAACATAGGTTCACAGCTTTCGCATATACGTGTACTTGTGAGTGAGATTGAGATAGAGAGATATCCTATCTGTCTTTAGTCCTAGTGATTCTTTTTATCTGTCAAAATGTGAATCCGTGTCGACCGTCAGATGTGTGGCATAGCTTTCAGCAAGCCATATTTGTGAAAGCAAACACACCATGAAAGGGCTACAAATTACATTCCAGTAAAGAGTGTTACGACCCTATGGTTTGTATTTTGCTATCTCTGTTGTTTTGTCAGTCTCTCAGTATGTCTGTTTAGGAACGTCGTCTGATTGGTTCCTGCAGGATGATTGGAACGCCCATCTGATTGGTTCCTGCACGATGATTGCTGCTCGATCCTGATTGGTGCAGCTTGTGTTAAAAAGAGACATCACTTCCTTTACAGGAACTCGGGAGATATTGTGTTTTGAGCAGAGAGAGAGTTTGTGATTTGAATGTTAAGAGTTTTTGAGGAATAAAAGGAAAGGAAAGGAATAAAATCTAGAGGTAAAAGCTTCAATGAAAGATTAGAGCCACTCTGGGTCTTGAAAAAGTCAATTTATACATTTTAAAACATATTTATGATTTTGTGGTTGATTAGCAACATAATCAAGATAAAAAATATTTTAATAAGCATTTATTTGCCCATATCATTTCCAAAAGAGTGACAGATCTGACAGGTTTCACAATCCCTTCTAGTCTATGATAATGTTAAAACAATCTCATGGTTTCCATGGGAACAATCTCTAGGGCAACGGCCACTCATCCCCCCCAACAGTTCAACCAGACGGATGAGGTCACCCTGAGGGCAACATTACCGCTTAGAGAGCAGACATGGAGCAGAACACCCAGATGAAACAACATTTTCAGGACTGAGGAAAAACCATGTCATCCAGACGGACAGACAACTCACCAAAAGATTAAATCATTCAGTGAAATTACACTGTTTATTACTGAAATAAGATGATGTCACACTTAAAACATCACCAATGGGATTTACCGTGTCTGAACACGCATGTTTATAATGGATGGGGGTTATGGGGCAGCATCAGGCAACATGAGACATAAACAGATAGATATAGTTATACCAGGACGCTCAGTCTATTCCAGTAGCCTAAGGTCACAAAAACACACTTATTATTCAAGTCATACGTTATCTTCCTTCAAAATGACAAAACGTTCAGCAAATGCATACTTAATTGACCTGCATTCACACTAAAAGAAAGATGAGTAAAGATAAAGATACACCAGGGGTTTATGTTTTTTTCCCAGCATGACTGCCTTTAGGTGAACACACACACAAAAAATAATAATACACATGCCCCATGATGAACCTCATTACGTTCCCTGGCCCTTATGAAAGCGGCAGTCTTCTTAAAGGCGTGGTTGATTATGATTTCACTTTTCTAACTAGAGTTAGTGTGTAATGTTGCTGTTTGAGCATTAACAACATCTGCAAAGTTCAAAGTTCAAAGCAAGATATTTGCTTTTAAAGAAATAGTTTAAGGACTACAACAAACGGGTGGTAGGGACTACACGACATTCCTCCCGGGTTAGTGACATCACTAACCCTAAAATTTACATAAACCCAGGCAGTCCATATTGAGAAGAGGAGAGTTGTGAGTCTGCTCAAGCTGTCGCATCCGTCTTTTCACATGCAATACAGTACGTAACACAAATGCAATAGCATGTCACTGTAGTAGGGGTGTAGCGATACACGTATTCGTATTGAACCGTTCGGTACGAGGCTTTCGGGTTGGTTTTCGGTACGCATTTTAAACCGAACGGTTCGTTGGACCATTTTTCCTGCCAACCAAAATTTCGTTATTGCAAAATAAGTCTAAATCCTTAGGTTGGGACTGTGCAAAATTATGAAAGGTTCTCTCTTGAATAGGGGTGTAACGATACACAAACCTGACGGTTCGGTTCGTCCCACGGTTTTGAGGTCTCGGTTCGGTTCGGTTCGGTTCGGTTCATTTCGGTGGGGTGGGGGGGTTTAGAAAGCTAAAATTGCTTTTATTTTTTATTAAACAGTGCTTTAATGAACAAATTGTGTCCTTGTCTTTAAATTAATTCAATTACAAGTAAACGTTTCTCAAGGATAACAAAATTATCTGCTAAGCTGTAAACTACAGCCCTTACTTGCACATTACTACATTAAAGCTTAACAACAGAGCCTAGACTTTTAGGCTAAATGATAATAATCAACACTCAAATAACAAATTGTATGAAAACATGTAAACTGCACATAAGGCAATTTTTGCATTAACATGTTTTTACTCTAATTTGTTATTGTTATATAATAATTTACACAGTTGCTGTTATTTTCATGACAACTATTTAAAACATACATTAAATAATCAAGATATCATAAACAGGTTAAGTAAAATATTATATATAGGCTAATATATAGCATTTATTTAGTGAAAGAGTAAGCAAACCAGCAAGCTGTGGACACTGAATGACTTGCCTGAGGTAAATATAAAGCTATGTGAAAAACTAAGCGTTTTATTGACGTATTTCCGCTGTTGAAACACTGATTGAGTGTTTACACGAGTTATGATGCCTTTCAGTAAGTATACTGTATCTTTCAACATACCTACGGGTGTCCATTCATGTTTATTCTGTAACTGAGGAAGAGATGATCGCGCTCCGCGCTGCCGCATGCATACAGTGATATCTGTCACGCCACATCTAAGAGCGCCAAAACGGCATTTATTGTTTGCATTTCGTGATCAAATAGACATAATTTGAAAGATTACAGCTTGCTTATTATCAAAAGTAACAAAACACTGAGCTTATTGCGATTATATGTGGTTAATGGTGGTTAGGCAACAGCCCTGTATTCGTTGTGTACACATAACACATGAGGTGCAATGAGCCGGTGCTGGGCGGGGCAGCAGGGGGCGGGGCGTGTTCGGTTCGCCATGAGAGTATCGCGATACGTATCGTGGGTGGTGTATCGCGGTTTTTCGGTTCGGTTCAAATATCGTTACACCCCTACTCTTGAACCACACCTAGGCTTGCCGCGATAGACGGTGTTGACGGTGTTACCGGTTTTAAGCCCCATCACCGGTGAGATCACTTTCCCACCGTGACACCGCGATGTCTTGACTTTTTAAAAGTATTAGTTTTTGCTAAAATATTTATTTGAATTAATTAAAAATAATAATTATCAATTATTTAGTTCAGAAGAGAGCATACATTATAATTAAAAACTGAACTGCGCAGTGCGTGCCAAGAGCCAGTCACGTCACAGATCAGCAAGCATCAAGAGTCAAATTCCATTTAGCACGTGTGGAGATTTTATATTCGTCTCTTATTTATTTGGTTTTATCTTATTTAAACTTTGTGTAATTTATTTAGGCCTATTTTATTTTCTTATTCGTTAATAAACGTTTTATGGTTCTTATTTGTTTGGGCCCACAGTTTGGCGATTTTCACTTTTTTCAGCCTATGCATGGGGTTATTTTTATTCGTTCGTTATGCTAATAAAAGTTCTGTCAATAAATAAAAGTTTTATTATCAGCGAGTTTTGAATTGTCAGCGCTGAATTGCCAATGGACGCTTATTTCGAAAGTGAAAGTATAACGCGCGCACGCATTTAAAAGCTATTTAACCCCCCCGCCCCGCCCCCCACGGTGACACCGGGATTACCGGTGTTGTCACACGTCGAATAACCGGTGGGAAATTTTCCTCACCGCCGCAACCCTAACACACCTTCACTTCCTTTCCCCTCTCTTCATTTTCCCTGATATCTCTTCCTTGTGTATACTTTTTCTTGTACCTGTCACTTGTTCACCAACAGATCTATTGTCATTAACAGAACTATCTCCACTTTGTTGCAAAACAGCCAACTAATTTGTTTAATTTAAGTGAGAAACAGATAACAGCAGAGGTAATCGAAATGTAAAAAATATGGTTCAGATTTATCATGCATCCCCAAAAAAAACCTACACACACACTGCAACTTTAAATCTTTAATTATTAAATAAAAGTAATAATGTTTTGTTTTAATTTTATTTTAATTTGTCTTACCAGTATGGAGTGCATGCCCATGTATATGCGGCTCAAACACACCAGGAAACACCAGCTGAAGGCCAGGGAGAGACCCAGCAGCAGAGGATACTGTGGAAATAAACACACACTTTACTATGAGACAAACAACTTCTGCAAAATTTCACAATGAAATTCATCAGCAGTGGTGTACATGATAACCACTGGTTAGCTCCGAAATTTCTAACGCATTTTTAAAATCCAGGTTTCCAATTTAGGAGTAAAACAAAGTCTTTTGTTACCATTCCATTAACATTTTGATCTACAACATAAATTGCATACTGTCATACCTTAAAGTGAATTTTGAAACTTTTTAAAAAAAAGAGTTAAGTGATGTATAAGCTTGTCCATCAATGAATGTACACGAATTACCAGCAAAGGATAGGACTGATTTGCTTTTATCTTTTTTGCACACACTACACCATGACTACAGCAGATGGCAGAGGAGAAAGAAGATCTGTCTGTCTCGCTCTCTATCATTTCTGTGAGTTGTATTATGGTTTGTACCAGATGTGTAAGATGTCCTCTGTAACACAATATAACAGTTTATGCACAGATGGTGTTCTAAGAAGCACGCACGCGCACACACGCACACACGCACACACACACACACACACACAATGTCCTCATGTTTTGGCTGTGGGCCCAGTGTCACAGTGACACCACAGCTAAGGTTAACCTGCTTTCATGAGGCTGAAGGGTTTCTGTTCTGGATGTGTGTCCATATGTCTCAAGTGTCCATGGTAGTATCTATGACTGACTATACCATCCTCATCACTTGCTGCATAACACAATGTCATTTGCCCACAGACGGACTCCTCCTGTGGTAAAACGGCCATACAACCAACAAACACTGAAGTCAAACCCTCAGCACACCATAAAACAACCACTCAACTACAATTACCATCCCACAAAGCAAAAGATGGTCAGGCAGATAAAAAGAGAGAGAGCCATAGCCAGCGGGAAACTTTAAAAAGAGCAGCAAAACTCTTAAAGGGATAGTTCACCCCAAAATTAAAACTCTGTCAGTAATTACTCACCCTCATGTTATTCCAACCCCGTAAGACTTTCGTTCTTCTTCGGAACACAGATTAAGATATTTTTGATTAAATCTGAGAGCTGGATCACTCCTCCCTAGGCTTCTAAGGGACTGAAACTTGCCGGCCCAGAAAAGTTAAAGACATCGTTAAAATAGTCCGAGTGACTACAGTGGCTCAATCTTAAGTTTATCAAGCAACGAGCTACTTTTTGTGCGCAAAAAAAAAAAAAAAAAAAAATTGACTTTATTGAACTATTCATTTACTTCTCTGTGGGCCACGAGAAGGCTCACTATTGGCCAACGCTGGTCATGTAAATCTCTGCTTGAGTGTTTAAATAGTCACTTGGACTATTTTAACGATGTCTTTAAATTTTCTGGGCCGGCAAGTTTCAATCCCTTAGAAGCCTATGGAGGAGTGATCCAGCTCTCAGATTTAATCAAAAATATCTTAATCTGTGTTCCGAAGATGAACGAAAGTCTTACGGGGTTTGAACAACATGAGGGTGAGTAATTACTGACAGAGTTTTAATTTTGGGGTGAACTAACCCTTTAACCGACTGTACTGGGTAACAACATACAGGACATTTTATCATAAACACTGTAACTTCTGTAAACTCGCTCATAATTATCTATAGCTCGATGTCTAGAATGGCAATAACATTCATTACACATTTTTATTCCTACTACTGTTCAAGATTTTGGGGTTGATAAAATGTTTTTTTTTTAAAGTCTCTAATGCTTACATAGGCTGCATTTCTTTAACAAAAATACAGTAAAAACAGCAATACTGAAAAGTTATTACAATTATATTATATATTTGTTTGTAATTTATTCCTGTGATGGCAATGCTGAATTTTCAGCATCATTACTCCAGTCTTCAGAGTCACATGATCCTTTACAAATCATTCTAATATGCTGATTAGCTGCTCAAGAAACATTTCTCATTATTATCATTGTTGAAAACAGTTGCTCCTTAATGTGTTTTGGAAACCGTGTCCATGATTAATTAATGTAATATTACATATGTCTTCACTGTCACTTTTGATCAATTTAATGTGTCATTGCTGAATAAAAGTATTAATTTCTTAAAAAAAAAAAAAAAAAAAAAAAAAAACCACAAACGTTTGAACAGTATAGCGGTTTATGCAGTAAACAAGGTATGCGTTTCCCCTTCTCAGGTTTTCTCAGGTTATTTAAAAAAAAAAAATTTGTATTAAATTGCTGAAACTAGGCTAATAGCTAAAAAGCAACACATTCCTACAGTCGTGGTTCATTCGGATTATGTCGTCTGTCTGTGTGTTTGCCGACCTACATCCCTCTCAGACAGATTACTGCAGTTTAAACACTCAAGCAGAGATCTACATGCACTAACGTCCATGTTTAAACATGTAGAGCGATGGATTTACAGTGAAACCCAAGCTGCCAAGAAAATGACACAGCAAATAAAACCTCTGGCTGCTTTAACTCGGAAATTTCCATTCAGTGCAACATCATAAAGGGGAACAGGACATTTCCCCCAAGCTCGATGATATTTTTCCAAACCTTCTAACCTCTAACTTCTGCTTTGCCTTGCAAAAGACATCCCAACCTAAATGAAAGAGAAAAGCGGAACTCATACAAACAGTTGCATGCGTCTGCTATGTGAAAATCTCTTCTCAGGCAAGAGTGGTTTCAAAGACAGAGTTTTGTTCACTTAAGTGAAGTATGCAATGTCTGCACCACTAGCATCACAAAACAGAATAGCAAAAATAATGACTATTATTGGTCGACAAACAGATAAAAGAGAAGATCCATTACAAGAAAAGCATTACACTGCCTACGCATCAAATAAATGACTAACTTTGAAGATACATTTCAAAGTGAACTCAAAATATGGAGAAGAGTCTGACAGCAGAACATATGAACATGCTGTAACACACACCTCTCTGGGGTCACACAGTGTATGACCCCAGAGGGTTAAACACTGAGTCAAGAGATTCAGATGAACATCAGAGACACAACCATTAAAAGAACCAGAGATCCCAACCGCACCTTATGACCTGAGACCACATGACACAGGCGCTGGACCACAAGCTGAATCAACTCACAGAGATCTTTCCCTCCCTTTCATCTGAGCCTCAGCTAACCTCATATGCTGAACATCTGCCTCTGATTATAGACTATGTGTGTACTGTGCGTGTCTGTTTGTGTGTGAGAGCTCTGTAGCTGCTGTGTATGTTGGTTTGTGAGAGAAGATTTGATTTTGTGTGTGTGTGTGAGAGTTCTCTGCAGCTGTGTATGCTGGTTTGTGAGAAGATTTGATTGTGTGTGTGTGTGTGTGTGTGTGCGCGCGTGTGGGTGTAAGTGAGCTCCCTGCAGCTGTGTATGCTGGTTCGTGAGAGAAGACAGAGATTTGATTGTGTGTGTGTGTGTATAAACAAAATTATAAATGATTAATGTGTCTAATCTCCATGATAACAGCATGAAGGAGTCTGAAAATGTACAGTGTGTGAGTGTCAGCAAGCAGGAGACTGAGTTTATGGTCATGGGCGGTGTGTGTTGCTCACCCTGCTGAAGCATCTTCACACAATATTCAAATTCAAACAACATGTGTTACACACTTATCCCCCAAAAAAACACTATGAACTATACCTCGGGAAGATATTCTTAAAATATTCTAAATATATTCTTGAAATATAGGGTCCTTGGTTCAATTTTAATTTTGTTAATAATTTTTCTGAATAAAGAAACATAAATGGTTGGTTAATACATATTTACTGAGTAATCCAATATTTTGTGAGGGGGGGGTTATTATAGGTATATACAGAGATTATAGGTATATTAATACATTCTGATGTCTTTAGTAATACTTGTTGCATTGACAGTTCAAAAATGGGAAGAATCATGTTTTTCATGTTGGCATGCCATAAAGTAATAATAAAGTAATAAAGATACAAGGCTCTATATGGTTCAATCTCAGGGATATGGGGATCCATGTGCAAATTGTTGAACTTTACCCATTTTCAGTGGTTGTATTATATAGAACTGCTTCCTAAAAGCAGGGCCGGATTAAGAATTCAGAGGGCCCTGGGCACAATGTCTTGTAGGCCCCCCCTTATGGTGCGTTCACACCGGACGCGAATAGCGCGTCAGGCGCCAGTGATTTCAATGTTAACGGTACTGATCCACTTGTCCGTGCGACACCTCAGCCGCGCCGCACTCCACTTTATTCCTATGGGTGACGTCACGCGACTTTAACGCGCCCGCAAAGCATCCCGGGAAGGCGGCGCTTCATTTGAAAAAATGCTGCGCGTCCAAAAGCTGGCCGATGCCCAGCTTTATGCAAATTAATCCGTCAAACGCGAAGCGTCTATCCAATAGAAGTAGAGCATATGGAGACGGGGGGAAGTCTCTCGCAAGTCCTCTGTTCTAGACTGGCCGCTGGCTCAAAACCACGCCCATAGCGGTAAACACGAGGAACGCCCATCAATGTACAAATGTGGGGAGGCGTCGCGACACCACGCTTCAGTCGTGTCGCAAAAGTGGATCAGTAACGTAAGTCAATGCAAAGACGCGTTACGCGCGTAAAAAATTCCTGCGGCGCAAATGAGGCGTAGAGCGCGGCGCGGTAGACGCGAATACGCCTCATTCGCGCGTCAAGTTCGCGCGAATGGCGCGAATTGAGCGTCTGGCGCGTTAAGCGCGAATGATTTAGTTAGTGCTATTTGTGCATTCACGCGTTCGACGCGAATTCGCGTCTGCCGCCCAAATTGAAAAATCTGAACTTCTGCGTCAATTCGCGCCGCGTTAACCAATCAGGAGCCTGCTTGCTGCTGTCACGTGGTGAAGTATCTGGATGCTTCAATAAATTATTTTGTAATATATGACTGTGGTTCTAATGCACAACAAAGCAAATATTTTATCACATAAAACTATGAGACATATTCATTTTGCATTGAATGCTATTTATTCCATATCTAGATTATATGAAATATTATTATAATGTAAAGACAACCAACATATAAGTTCGTGTCTGGACAGTGATGTGTGAGAG